AAGCCATTTGTTTGTTAAATACTTAATGAAACATATTTACCGTGTTTGATGTTTGTTGTAAATGACGTATACTCACAAAGAACGAGGTAATTAGTCCAATTATTGAACGTTCAGAAACTACAGCGGCTGTGAAGAGCCAAGACAAAGGTAAACAAAGGTAAAACAACCCAAACAGGTGATCAACTCTAAACCACTCGCACCTTTTTACTCTCCGTTTCTCTCTTTGTCGTTTAGCACACCCGTTGCCGTGGCAACCGCTTGCTCCTCGAGCCGAGCACTGATTACGTTAAAAACATAACATTCACTCCATTACGATATCAGGTTTTCAGGCTTGATATTTATTTTGAGATTATTAATAAGCCTCCCTGAACACAGCGGTGGTTGATTAGTTAATTTAATCTCCTGTTCTGTTCGTTATTTTGGTAATGGAACCGAAACACACAGAATTACTTAACACCTTGTTGAAACAATAATTACTGAGATTATTATTGTTGTTGGGTCATTAATTTGAAAACGTTTTGTTGACTTTTTATTGTTGTTCTTTAATAAAGTTACTAACGTTTTGATAAGGAGCCAGAGGAGGACGTGCTGGTTTCAGCCTCCTGGCGGCGTTTAGTTCGTCACCTAACGCTGATCGACTCAAAACCTTCCGCTATTGACATATTGCAGGCCTGCTCTAACAAAGAACAGTTCAGAAACAATATGAAATGGGGGGAGGGGGAGCTATTTATTAACTGATTAAGCCGTGTTTTGGATTGTCTTGAAAAACTAATCAGTTACGGCTGCACAGTGAACCCGTTAATTTTTTACAGCAGACAGCCGCTCCCCTCTCTTGCAGGTACTGCGTACCCCCGTTAAATCTTTTAGGGGTACGCAGTACCCTACCGCACCCCCTTACTTTCACCCCTGATTATAACCATATATTTCAATGTATTTTATTGGGTAAGTGTGAAGTGGAATCAACGTAATATATGGGTTTTCCAGTCTTTTACTGATTAAAAAAATAAAAAAGAGAATTAGTCTGACACCCTTTAACAGAGTACAGCGAACCAAAGTGCCGATAGAGGAACCAAATAAAGAGTAGCTTGGTATCAGTATAAATTCAGCTGTTCTGTTAATGTTGTTAATGAACAAACAGAGTCATGAAGCCCAATCAGCAGAGAGAAGCGTCTAACATCCCACAGAGGAATACGTAGCTACTTTTCAAATTAATATGAAAATGTTCTAATGTTTGACGACATGAGACCGCTCTAAAAAGCAGGACCATACTGCAAGGCATTCTGGGTAAATGCAACCAAAACAAAAGCGTGAGTCTAGTGTAAGAGGGAAAAATGGCTCGTTGTCTTTCCCAAAGAAAAAATAGAAATCCTACCACAGCTAAAATCTGACACTACTCCATATTTGTTGCTCGTTTTCTTTAGAGGCTTTTGTGTCGTTTCTTTGAGTAGTTCTTGGTGTAGCGCCCCCACAGGCGAGGAGGGAAACATGTTTTTTAATTGGTTTGGATGTTTGACATGGTGCAGTGTGAAAGTGAACCACACCAGCTGAAATGTAACAAATGTTGCAGTTTTCACCTCAATCCAACAGGGAGTACCAAACTATCAGATGTGAAAATGCCCTAAGAATCTATTGCAAAACTTCAACTGACTGATTAAGGCTAACTTATTCTGCAATCATTTTATTTTGTAGATGTGGAAAGCCTCAAAAGATTCAAAGTTTTCCTTTTCTCTTCACAACCGTTCCAGACTTCGTTCACATAAAACTCAAACAAAATCATTCAAGCTTGTGGCTGTAAGGAGACAAAATGGAGGGAAAGATTTCCATAGTTTACACTCTCCAAGGTCGACGAATGCCCAAAACGAGACTCTCAGTGTTGACTTCAGCATGTGATGTCTCAATAAAATGTGGAACAATAAATAATTAGTCCTTCTTCTTCTGTCACTGTAGCAGATATCAATAAACTAGACTGCTTGATGAGACAGCAGCCGAAGCATTGAGGGATGTGTCATTTCATTACTAATGAGGGGAAGATCACCCAAGGCTGTCTTACAGGGGAAAAAGATCCAGGCGTATTGATCAATCAATCACTCAGCCTGAATTTATTGGGAACACTTGAGCTGAATGAAGTATTGATCGCCGCTGCACCGTCTTTTGTTTGCCGAGATAAATATTTACAAGCTTTGGGATGATTTGTTGTAATGTTCATCTTCCAGCTAAAACCTGCTTTCACACAAAGTCAAAGGTCACTGAATTCCTCCCTCGCCTTTGTTTAGCTATAAATTCTGCAGCCGAAACAAACATGGAAGGTCGCGTCTTGAGATCATGTAAAGGCTATAAACTCTGCTGGTTTACTAGGAGGCTCTCAGACCTTCCGCACGCCAGAAATGCAACTCCTCACTCTAATTTGTGGCCTCGACTCTCGCAAGTTGTGACCTAGAGCTCCCTGGGGAGCCGAGAGAATCCCTCTTTTCACAATCCGTCAAATAACCCAGCACTGGGGACAGACTGAGGCGGGGAGCTGGAGGGAGTCAAAGGCTGGAGAGGCTTGCCTCTCTAGCCGAGTGGGGAAAAAGAAACCCTTTATCTTCATGAATGGGCTGTGGCAGAAAGCACTGATTGGTACAACGGCGCTGCTCGCCCTCTGGTAGTCTTGGCTCTCCCTGCGCTCAACTCCAAAGAGAAATGAGCTGATGCAAGAGTGGTTTGAGATTGACTCGGCTGAGGCTGAAAGAGCGAGAGGTGGCTCAGGGAGCCAATGGTGAAGGTAAAGTATCTGTGAGTAGCAAGGGATGAAGAAGAGCTGAATGAAAGGCAAAGCAGAAACACATGGAAGCCAAAATACAGGTCCGCATTAAATAAAGTGGAACCAAAATGTAACATTTGTCTGATTTCATGATGTGCATGGAATTGTACTATCATTTAGGCCCTATGAGAGAGATTTGAATAATTGTTTTTCTCTAGGTGCAGAAGATTGTGTTTACTGTGGATTTCCTCTCATCCAAACAGGCAGAGAGTTAAGAGCTCAATGTCGATCCCTCTCCATTCATATCATCTCAGCGACCAGCAAAAACTGAGCATATGAAATTACAAGCTCATGTCCTTTCCTTTTTTAAATAAGAAAATTAACCTGTTGTTACGTTCCTTAGTGAATGCTCTATCATTTGTAGCAAAGGAAGCATCTGCAGCGAAAAAATACTTTTAACATCAACATGTCAAGAGTTCAGCTTTCTGCTTGGGTTAACATCAGTGTAGTGGAGAGATGATCTACTCTTTGGATTAACTGGTTAATAATTGGATAGCAAAAGGTGCTTAATAGGATTTTTTTTTTTTTTTACATAATTTGAACCAGGTGAAGATAAACTTTGCCACTAAAAGAGTTATGGGTAGAACTCTTGACAGTTTTGGCTGAATCATTGCTGAGGATGTATTGTTCTTTCAGCAAAATTGATTCTCTTAGTTTGTATAGTCCAGTTAATCGTTCATTGGTTACTAAATTACTAGACAATTATTTCAATAATCAGTTAATCATAATGAATCTGAATAAGCTCTCTCAGAGAGTGCAGGTTAGGGTCGTGTGTTTGATCCCAAACAGACAAACCAGCAGGTTAACATGAGGCTTCTGCTCTGGCCTGACCTCAAACCTGTTCAATGTGCTGACTGGAAACATGTTCAACATATGAGTAAAAACCAACCAATTTAAATTAATTAACAATGTCAGACAAGAACAGACGGAACAATCCCTCAAATCTGCAGTAAATTCAAACTGGTACAACTCATTAAAACTATTTGTTAAATCATCACCAGGAAATAAAAGCCACTGAAATGCATCACTGAAAATGAAAACATCATGATGGGCAGATGTAAACATGTTTATAACAAACAAAGCTTCATTAAGACCAACAACATCTCCAACCAGCTGTCAATTAGAATTTAATCTATAGAAATCAGAGGATTTAAAATGTGCAGAGTCAAAACAGACCACCTGTTCTCTCTGTTAGAAGCAGATGGAGTAGCAAAAAAATCCTTTCACTCAACATGCAAAACGTTTGTTTTTATAAAAACAAAATATAAGAAGGACCTCTGCTAACCCACAGACCGTCTCCCCCTCCTGGCAGTGGCAGGAATTCCCCAGACCCAGCCAGCATTGAGCCAGGTTTGCCCTTGATGTGATTTGCTTCATTTTATTGATCATACGCTCTTCTCTTAACGCCAGGCCGTTTTTCTATTTTATTTGGAGCATCGCAAACTGAAGGTCACGCTGCACACACATGCTCAACATTCATCAGTGTTTGGTCAATTCTTCATCAGCTGTGGCAAAATAAGCAACACTCAGCAGCACTCATGGAGTTAGAGAGGGGCAACAATCTCCTTTAATCTGATTAAATCATTTAAATGTCAGCCAGCTGCAGCAGACATGAACTATGAACCAAAGGCATGTTCAAGAACATCTCACTTCATTACAATACCAATAAACTGTCTCAGTGATTCAGTTTAAAACAGATTCATTCCACACATGACGATATTCAATTTATCAGAAAAATCTTGCATATTACTGATTAAAAGAAAAAATTATTTTATCAGAGAAACATTGAGTTTCAGCCTCACAATCATGGAGAAGACTGCTGGTCCTCCACAAGGAGGAGAAGACAACAAAGCTAATTGTTTAAGACGCTTTCTGTTCACAGACTTCTGTATGTAAAAATAACAACGAAAAGTTGAGTGAAAGGAAAAGCGTAAGCAAGGGATGTGAAGCAAAGTTCAATAAAGGGGCAGAATCATATATGTTTTCCAAATAGTTCCATTTTATAGCACAATCGACTAATTATGCTCGCTGCTGCATATATCAAACATAGCTTAATCTGATTTAGCAAATTGACATCTTGAAATTGTGCGTCTGTGTCTTTAAGAAGCTCCTGCTCTTTTTGATGCTCTGCCTTCACACAACATCTCTGTACTAAACCTCCGCACCTGAAATGTTTGGCCTGATGAGCTCCGCCGTTCCTCCAGGCATTTGATTGGTGAATTTGGGGTTTTCAGGTTAACAGGAATACATGGATGAACTAAATTAATCTGTGTTTAATGACTGTGTGTAATGGAAGCTACAGTTTCTGAACAGACTTACAGAAATTGATTTTTCAACTATCTTCTAATCTGTTGAGATGCTTCAATAAAGACAGTTAAAACAGAGCAGAGACAGACAGCAGGTCTGAGGTTAGAGGAAGTGCTCTTCTTCAGGGCGCTGCATGTCGACTTACGGGGGCAGTTGGCGCCCTCTGGGGTGCTGGACGGGGTCTTTCCATCGGGACAGCAGCCGAACTCTGTGTTGTCACAGGAGGACCTCTCCTCGGCAGTGGCAGCAGCAGAACCTGCCACTGGCGAACCTGCAGGTGACACAAAGTCCTAATAAAAAATTCATTCAACTTTAGCAAAAAATCATGAATATAAATCATTCTTTTTCCAAGAAGCTTGAAACTAGAACCTAAAAGATGTGTGCTGTTTTTGTTTTGCTGAGTTCCTCCTGCTCCTCCAGGTGTTTGTGCCTTTTTGTCTCTGTCTGCTGACCAACGATTGAGCACTGAAAGAGGCATCTGTCAGGGGTGATTATATGGCATTTCATGGGCTCTGATTTTACAGCTGGAACTCATTTTGTCAGGCAGAAAACCCTTAATGGGCACTGTTACCAGTCATGTCACACACGGAGCGCTTTAAATGATAGGGGAGTGTGATAACTGCTGACTGGCTGGCAGTTCCCCTCAAGGCGTCCCAGAAAAATCAAAAAGAAGAAAAAAACCTTACAGTGTCCTGTTACTGCTACTGCCACTGTATATCTGGCAATCAGGAGACATTAAGGACATAAAAGCGATCAGACTTTCTCTACCCCAGGACTGAAACGCCGTACACTATGACCCGGTCTTGGCCGAAGCAGAGCGGTTTACGGCCTCGCAGGGATTAGAAATGATCGCAGGCAGAAAAGGCTTGCGGCTAAACAAGCCGTAAAGACATCAAGGGGCAGGGACATCCTACTCAATGTCTCACGGCCAAGGGACGCGAGAGGGAGGAAGAAGGGTTATTGGGCACATGTTGGAGTGTGGTCTGCAGATTTACAGAGCATGAAGAAGAGGAGAAACAGAGCAGGAGAGCAAGGCCACTCTGAGTCCTGCAGGAGCAGAGCTGGACGTGAACACACAGATACAGACAGATAGGAGTCAGAAAAAAAAAACAGAAACACATTTCTGACTGACTTTAAATTCACATACATGCAAATTGAACAAGACAAGAATCAGAGACAGAAAAATAAACAGGACAAAACACAAGAGACCAGACTTGTCTACCTGTTAGCATGTGTTAAAATCACATTTGTTCACACTAACCTTCAAAAAGTATTCAGACAAACTGAACTTTTCAGATTTGACTCATTATAACTGACATATTTTACTGGGATTTTATGCAGCAGTGCAACACAAGGCAGCACATAATTATGAAGTGGAAGGAAAATAATGGATGACTTTCTTTTTTAACAGATAGGAGAAGAATCAAAACAAACCTGGAGTTTTGTTTTGATTCTTTCAAGCATGTCTGAGAAATCCTTTAATCTCCATGACAACCACTCAGCTGTGCAAAACGCCTGGGTGGACCTAGCTCCACCACTCAGGTCCTTCAGACTAGCCAGCATCAATTAGTAAACATCTGCTGAGCTCAGTATAGGAGCTGAGAAACACTGGTTAAAACATTAAAGGGTTAATAGAGCCATGTTGGGATGACTGTATCAAGGCGGAGCTTCAGAAAGGGCAGGAGTGTCTTAAAGAGACAGAGGTCCAATTTCAAGGTGTCAAATTACAAAGTAAAATTTCTTTTAAGTCATATTTGATATAGCATTTTCATAACTACTGAAAGTGAGTTGATTGTGCTCTAAAATGATCCTATGTGGCTGAAAAACATAATACTGCACCTTTAACAATATTAGTTTCTGTCTTCAGAAGTGACCTGTCACCTGTCAGATGTTGGTCAGAGAAAGGTCAGGGGTCAGGGGGGAAATCCTCAGCTCTGGTCAACAAACATGAGGGAACCAGGACAAGAAAAACTATTGTTCAAAGAAAGTCATAAAAACATCTGTTTCTTCTTTATAGTTTGGTTTTGGACTGCTAAGTTGGTAGGAAAAAAAAAAATATATATATAAAGTGTATTGGTTTCAGCCTGAAAACACATAAAATAAATCAAAGCAAAATAAAACTCTAGATGCCATTGTTTCGTTCTGCTGCAGCAAAAAATGAGATGAAAGCCTATTTTTTACTTTATATAGTAACAAAGCTCTGCTCAGTTCCGTTAGATCACTGAACAAAGTTATTAGGAGCCACTGAAAGGTCACAGGTCACAGTCTGATGAACTAGGTTGACGTTTCAGTCTCTAGATACACAGAATAATGGAAACATACAGCCAACCACTAAAACAGTTACAGCAGATTCTATTTTAAAATGTTCCTTTCACTTCAGTTATTTGGAGTTTTTTTACATCACAGAAATAGAAAAATCCCCATGCAGTTTGAAGTTGTAAAATTTAAAAACTTCAACAAGTATGATTACTTTTGCAAGGCACTATAAATACATATGCATACGGTCAGATGAAATAACTTAGAATATGCTTTCAGGTGAGGCCCGTTGGTCAGATTAAAAGTACTTGTGAAAATAACAACCTTTAAGCAGGTGTTAAACATACTTTTCATTGAGACCGTATTTCTGAATGAAATGCTTTGTAAATGGTTTGATGTGACATTCTGAATGTAAAAGTAATTTTTCATTATCTGTAAGTGGAAAATCATCATAATTAACATAAAGGAGCCTTTCAAACATCCATCTGTGTGGAATTAATCTACAAAATGTTTCACTTGGTAAAGTATCTGGATTTGCATGATATTCTAACGTATAGCCTGAGCTGCAGAGCCACTGAACACACGCTGTGCCTCACAGCAGCTCCCTGCTCTCTGCTCAGCCTCTGGTCAACAGGCATAGAGGAAGCACAGTGCCGCTCCATCAGGCCTATCCTATCACTGCAAGCCGCCAAGCCATGCTGATGGACGGATGAGACCCAACATCAGGAAAGAATAAAAGAAGAAAGAAGGTCTAATTGGAAAGCCTGGGCTGGAAAAGCAGCAGCTGGGTGTTACAGTCAGGAGGCACAAAGACTCCTGACTAGTCATGTGACAAGGAGCAATGGTGCTGCAAGCGCTCGCAGCTGGACCTTGGAGTGACATCAGTCTGTCGGGTCAGGCTCCAGAGATCCACAGACTCGGCCCAGAGGTCTCTTCTATCTGTGGTGCTGGGAGTGTATTTTACAGAGCCTGGTTTTACTCTGTGAAGCTGCTGAGGGGGGGAAGGAGGGGAAACAGACAGCTACAGTGAACCATACAAATACTTTCTGTTTCTGTCTGAAATGGAGATATATGTCTTTTGCAAGTGAAAAAAGACAGTAATAGCAATGTGAAGATTTTTTCTTCTCATCTGGCTTTTAAGTGTTTTCTCCAGCAAAATCTATTTGCATACAATTACACAAGCCTTGCTTCCTATTTTTAGTTTCTAATTAACAGATGATGGTATGAATGCGTTATGATGTCAGCTAATGATTGATTCAGAATTTTTCCAAACCCTGCAGATAAACCCAACCTCGCACCTAACATGATTATGGAGAATGAAGTGAAAAGCAGTGATTTACCGCCAGAATCGTCTGAACCGCTGGCCTCCGACTGGACGCCACTACCAACATCCTCATCCCGTCCGTCCTCCTCTTCTTCTTCGTCACCACTCGGGTCGCCGCTGCCCGAGCCCTCCAGGGGGCCCAGCGTGCTGGCAGCAGACGGCTGGATGCGATTGGATGGAACGTGACCAGGGGTGGAGGTGGAAAGGACGGCGGTGGTGTCGGGGGTCTCCATGGACGCTGGCTGGGCCGTCATTGGAGGCGGGATGGCATACACCATGTTAGAGATGAAGGGGTCGGGGGTGGTAGTGATGACGGCCGTTGAGGCTGGGCTGAGGGTGGTGGGCAGAGGGTTGGGGGTGGGTCGGTCTGCCGGGTCAGAGATGCTTTCTGGTGAAGGGAAGGGGAAGAAGCAAGGAATGGATGAATGGCTGAGCAAAGATGGAAATGTTTGATTTTGCTTCACTTTTAATAAAACCTTAAAGAGACCGGATGAAGGTCTCTGTCTTCTAGTGAGGCTTACCAATAAAACCACATGCACACACATGCACACGCACACACACACACACACACACACACCCACACAAACACCTCGCAACAATGGATGAATGTTTACCTCTCAGCTCAGTCTTGCAACACCTGGAGTTTGTTTCACTTAAATAATTTTATTAGATTTCCAATCAACTTTCCTTGCAGCAGAAAACTATTCCCACAGAATTCTGCCATGTTTTATCAAGGTAAAGGTTATTCAGGGTGACACCATCAGTGGTCGGCACTGCTAGCTCAGACATTAGTTGTGCTAAAAGTTTATAAAACTAGATTAGAACTTAGACTTTATACTTGAAATTGTATTTATGCAAAGCTAGGTGTGCTAAATGTTTTCAAAGTTAGCTAGAATGCTAAATGAAAATTAGCTAAGCTATTAGCACATAAGCAGTAAGCTACTGCTGATACACCATAGAGCTAAATTCAACCATGTTGACACCCAAAACCTCCACAAATCAAAATTTATTCAAGTGAAAGTTTATAAAACAGCTAAATAAATTAGCTTCTGATTTCTTCTGGAAATAATAATTTAGGGGAAGCTAAATGTTTTCAAAGTTAGCAAACATGCTCAACAAAAAATTAATCCAAGTGTGAGCCCACCACTGCTTTCCACCCATACTTTTTGTTGATCATTATTTGTTAGTGTATAGTCTTAGGTGATACATTATATTTTGTAGTTGTGACAAAATGTGAAAAAAATCCAGGATGTTTGCAAGGCAACACACATCTGAGGGATACAGACTGAACTACATGAGTTTAGTTTCTCCAGCTCTCAAATATGCTATTCCTGTATTTATGCTTGTGTAGGTAGGCAGAAGACCTACATGCAGCATCATGTGCAAGCCTATGAATTATATATCCAAATTCAAATGCTGCCCTGCAGTAGCAAAGCTTTAATCACCAACAGCCAGTACCTCCGGTGATGAATGATTGATAGAAATGGGGCAAAAAAGCCGGCTTTGCTCTGACTTCAAAGATGGTAGGCTGCTGCTCACTGAGAGCTCAAGCCGCCATCAACGGCACTGCTATCGCGCCGCTGTCAACAACACATGCACCCAAACAAACACGTATGCAATGCTTTAAAAGAAAAAAACAAAAAAAATACAACTCCATATGAGGAGGAAGAGGAAAACCTCTGTGTAAAGAGACCATCATTACCAATGCAAAAAAGCTCTGGTGCAGAAGGGCAAACTGTCTGCGATGAAAGAACGATAAATAGAACAAAAACTCTTGAAGGTGACGAGCAGGCAGACGCCGTGCTCAGGAAAGGAGTGACAACATTGTCATTTTTCTACTTCACATCCCGGGAGAGTAGAAGTGTCTTAGCAAGAGGATGGGAGAAAACCAGCTCCGTAGATTTCCACCTCATTAGGATTCGCCTAACACTACAGTATGTGTAAGACTTAATTACAGCGCTACAATCACAGAGTTGATCGGCAATTATTTACCGAGGTGTGAAATGTGATACCTACAGAGACAGCAGAATGCCTCAGAGTGACGGCTTTAAGAGCTGCACAGATAACTGCTGGTGGGAGAGATTCAGAGTGCGGTTCAAAGAGCGTTGATGCTATCGCCAAGAAAGATGGCATGGAGTGCCTTTCCCCTCGGCTACACCTGTCAGTCAGGTGCTCAGCGTCGAGGGGCTGCATGGATCCAGAGGAAAATGTTTGTGGAATATAAGCAGCGAACTTCATGATGTGGGATAAGCAGAGATAAGCACATGTTTGAAAGATCCCAGAAGTCTCAGCAGATACATCAGATTTACCAGTCCTTTTAGCTGTTTCTGCTGCTTTGCTTCCTCTGGGAAGAACAATGGATGGTAATGTTAGAGGGCGGAGAGAAGGAAACAGAACCACTGTGTTCTCAGCATGCTTTCTACCATATTATTACTGAAAGGTGGTTATTAAGATTTTCACAATGTCAGGAGACAAGAAACCCACAAAGGAAAGTTGGACAACCTCTAGACCAGGGGTCACCAACTCCAGTCCTCCAGGGCTACCATCCTGTAACTTTTAGATGCGTCTCTGCTCAAACACACCTGGATCAAATAATCTGCTCGTTTCCAGCTTATTGCAGAGAGGAATGAATGCTGGTGAGGGAATTCAGACATTTTGGAGCAGAGGTGAATCTAAAAGTTTTTAGGATGGTAGCCCTGGAGGACTGGAGTTGGTGACCCCTGACCTAGACGGCTTAAATCAGACAACAAAAAGGGCTAAAAAAAAGTAGCAGTAGCAGGTGAAAAGCCAGAACAGAAAAAGGGTTTGAACAACGTGAGATAAACTCCCAACATGAAGGAAGGATGGAGGAATCAGCAGAGCCCTGACTAACACGCAACATGAGGGCTGTAAGCAGCATATGTCCGAAGCTCCTGCCAATGCTCCGCAAACCTACAGGTGATATCGACAGATGGGAGAGGCGGGGCCGATGGCAACCCACTGATCGTCTTCTTCCAGCAGTGATTTGCTCATCGGTGCAAATGCCTCCCCACTGGAGGCTGCTGCTGTGGCTGCTACTCAATTTTACAGGATTTCTGAGACACCTCAGAGTTTTGGATGAATTAAATATGAATACCACTGGATTTGTATTTTAATTTGATACGAAAACATCATTTGTTTCATTTCAGCTTAAACAATTGTTTGCCATAACACAACCTAATAAGGTTTTCACGTCACTGTGGTGGAATTTTTTCTTGTTAGCAGAATTGCTTTAATTCAGCCTCCACTGAGGATTTTTTGATTATTTAACTGAAGATCTGTAGGACTTTAGGTTTTTGTTCAACTTCCTCAATGTGCTTTTGGATTATTTTTTGTAGATAGGCCACTCCAGGATTCTGTGTTTTTCTGACTCTAAGCTCTCCAGACTGATGGATGCCTGTGACTTTGTTTCTCATCTGCTTTTGGATTCTGATCGAGGCAGGAAGTGCTGCTTTGTGAGGTCTCTCAGCCTACTTCATGCTGCCAGACAGGGTCTGTTTAAATGATTTCCATATGTCTGGCACCAAAGAGACTGTAAATGTATCACGATGTAAGGATCTCATATCAGTCGATAATTGTTGATTAGTTTTTGTTTTAAATATCGATGACTTTTCCTGTTTTATTCAGTTTTCACTCCACATCATTGTTGTTGATTTCTAATCAGTTGTGAGGCTCGGTGTGAAAACATGAAACTGCTGCTGCGCAAGTTACTCAGCAGGTTGTTGCTAGGCAAGCAGAGTGAATAAGTTGATGCTACCAACCTTTTTTAGGCTTTTCCTCTGCCTACATCTCCCAGAATGGTGGAAAAACTCTATCAAACGTATTATCTATTAATATTGATCACCTATGTATTGTTATTGACTTATTGTCCAGCCCTACCTGGGAGTAATTAATAAAATGAAATGTGGTTGGTCTCAATTCTTTCTTGATATAACAAGGCAGGGCAAGTATACCTTCACATGAGACCAAGTCAATTTTAAAATAAATGTATCTATAATAAATTGATGAAATTATAATTTGAGAACTGCATTTTGAATTTAGGTTGTACTCTGAGGTTTCCAGTACCCTCTTCCCCAGGGCTGCTTTTGGACTACAGAGGCTAGTTCTCTGCAGTCCAAACATTTTAACATTGTAACATTTTACTTACAACATTTTAGCGTTTTATTTTACACCAGTGACTCCAGTGACACGGTGTAGCGATGTAAGAGGTTCAATATCTGCGGGTGTTTAGGCTCTTTGGCTCTGTGCTAGGCCTCAGAGCAGCTTGTTGAGCATTAGTGCACCACGGCGCCGCACATCTGGAAGTGGTGTAGGGAAACAGTAGATAGGGAAAGCGGGCGACGCTGCAGTGTGGAAATGGGCGGAGCAAAATGCTAATTCGCACCCAGCCACACGTGAAATGAGCTGCAGAGCCGACAGCAGCAACCTGCGGTGCAACCGCTTCCCAGGGAAGACATGAACAGATCCTCTGCTCCTCACCATCTCCTCAGGGCTGGATCGAGGAAAACAGCACGCTGACGGCGGTGCTCTCTGTGCCGCTATGCTAGGTGAGAGATTACACACAACCCACATCTCCATTGCCAGGCAACAGAGGAATCAGAAACCAGATTGGATTTTGGCTCCTATCACAGCTGAACCCACCCATGGCACTGGATGTGTAATTACCAGATGTTCTGGGACTTATCAAAGCCTGGTCTGTTTCTCTTTTTTCTCTGTGCTCCCAAACCTCCAGCCTGTCCTAGACCACCATGACATCCTCACCTCCACTGGATACGGTCTGGTGAAAAAGCCATCTCTGACACTTTTGGGTCACTTGGTCTGTGCCCTACAGTGATGAGGTGAATGAACATTTTTCCCCCATAAAGCATTCACACACCTGGCAGGCACACAGCTGGCTGCGTTTCTTTTCTAGATTCCTGTTAAGATCCCAGCTGGCAGCTGCGCCACATCTTCACTCTGCATGCAAACTGCAGCCTTGGCGCCATCCCAGCGCCCTTTACAGCAACCCAAACAATGTCCATCAACATCTGGACTGAAGAGAGCAGGAGCTACCCCCCTCCCCCCTTGCCCCTCCACCCCACTGCCACCCTACACATGTTTTTCTACATTTTCAATCACACTCTGACAAAGATTTGGCAGAACGAAGCCAGAGGATTCCCAGCCACAGTTTTACAGGAATTCATGTGTTATAGCTGGGCCTGTTGCAATAAGTCATTCATCAATTAATCACAATATAAACTAACAGCAGATCAATATTGTTCTATACAAATTTAGTTTATTAGACGGTGAGAGCTTGAAGCTCGAGAGCACAAGCTTCCATTATTATGCCTTTACCTTGATTTGAAAACGGTTTCCAATAACAGTATTATCATTTATTGCAATTTCTGGGACAATTTACCGTCAAGTAACATTTATGGTAACAGGCTTAGCTGAAACACAGAAAATGTATTATAGTCCAAAGTCTGGCCACTTTATAAGGTACACCTTTCTAGTGCTGGATTGGAGCCTCAGCTGTGTTGATTTTTTTGGATCCTCTTTAATATTTAAAGCTGCCTTAGTTCTTCACAGCATAGATTTAGAAACGTGTCAAACACTGGTCACATGCTAATTCTACCTGACCTAAAACAAGAACGGTTTGGTCTGATTTAACTTCAGACAGTGAAGTTAAATCAGACAGTGTGTCTGTCTTTTTATTAGGTGTATGAAAATATTTGGTTTCAACTTTCAACATCATCACTTCATGATAAAATGGTGTAGTTTGAATATCAAGCACTTTTCAAGACTTGATTTGGAAACCCAGAACTTTCCAAACCTTGAAAATACCCAATTGAAATTCAAGCATTTTCAAGGATTTCAACTGAACCCCGAAAATATAGCACAAAACACTGAAAGGCAGGATGGATTCTGGGAAACGTCTGCATCACAGCATCGCTCTAAGATGAGCATTCAGCAGCAAAAACTAAACCATCCAGTTTCAACATCCCATGACATTTCAGCCTGTGATTACAGACAATAAGATGCTGTCACACCTTACTGCATCACTAGACCAGAAGCTGCAAATCAGATGGCAACTAAACCCAGACAAACATTCTGCTAAATACACAGCCAGTCTCCACTGACTGCATCAGAAACCAGGTTTAGGGCGGAGCCACAAAACTTTCACTCTGGGGGCCAACAAGAGAATCTTGGATTGGACTCTGTCTAGGTTAGTTGTAATAAGATGAGTTATTTTCTAACATCCAGAACCAGAACTCCAGCAAGTTGTCTCCACCAGGTTGGGAAGCTCACTGTTAGAATTGGTTGATTAACTGTTTGCGATAGAGACTAACTGAAGAGGTAGCTGACATGATGATGTGCTAAAATTAACTTTTAGATTTTGTCATTACTCTCTGTGAGACAGAAAGCCGGAGTGGCGCAGACACAGCAGGGCTCCATCAGCAACGCTCATTATCTGCTGAGCGCAGCCTGACAGCAGCTGGCTGCTGCTCGGCGTGATGCATGGAGGAATCACCCAGGCTCACCTGTGCACTGTCCAGAGTGCTGCACGGTAACGTCCTTGTCCTGCCTGCAGGCAATGGTCCTCAGCTGGCACTGGTCAGCGTAGGTCACCCCATCTGAGCCGCACACCTGCTCCACAGTGACAGAGATGGAGGGACGGCAGCCGAGCCACATGTTAGCTCCCTGGGCCACCGGCACTCCTGAGAAGATCAAATCCCCAGCCACTTTGGAACACGCACCTTTGTCTTGTTTCTTAAGTCGCAGTCGGGCGGCGGGCACTGACAGTGCGCCTGGCCGTTTTCCTCCTGGCAGGTGGCGCCGTAACTGCAGAGCAGCTTTTCACATGATGTCGGGGTATCAGGGCCTGTGGAGGACACAGGTTTGATTTCTTACTGCCTCTGAACAGCCTGATGACAGAGGTGAGCTACATGGGCTCAGAGTTTTATCAGGATATTTTGTGGTACTGTTGTGGTAATGATGAAAAATATGATAAAAACTAATTCTGAGCTTTCTGTTTGGTTGTGAGTGAACCACAGCATTCATAGTAGCTCCACAACCACAACCGCTGCTGCTACAATATGAACAAACTTACTTATAATGAACTTCTTTAGGACACCAGTCACATGAAGAAGTGTGATTTATATTATTGCACACAGTACTAAGTCAGAAAAACATCAAATTACAATTAGACCAAAATACAGCAGCACATCTTTTACTGAATTGTTCCATATACACAAATATCCTCAGCATGATCTGAGCATCAGTTTGGCCGTTGGTTAAAAATAAGGCTGATATTGTCCTTTCAATCTTTTCTTCAGAAATATTGTATTATCTAATAACTAAGTGCTTTGTATAATCTACTTTTAATTAGGCACAATGCAACTTTAATACAATGATTCCTATGTTCTATGTTCATGGCATGGGAATGAAAAATCGTTATTTTCAGAAGAATAAGGTGTGTAATTATTTTATCATATAAAGTGTTTGCATGAAAAATGATCTTATTGCTGGTAGTTTGTTCCCCACAAAGCCACAGCTGGAACTGCCAGGCATCCTGTCTGTCTGTGTGTGTGTGTGCATGTTTGTGTGTGTGTATTCCATTGTTACAGCTTCACCTTATGCTTTACTGTGCCGTATCCTCTGAGTACCTTGTCTCTGTACCCAGCAGTGTGTGTGGCGGTGAACTGGACTGCCGGCTTCATTAAGCGTCTGACTTCCAGTCAATGTCTGATGGTGAATCTTAATCAAGGAGCTGCAGGCTCTCAGCAGGAGCTAACCTTTCCTTCAACTATTTTCCTTTATTTTTTTATTCGGTGCAATCGCCGGGGCGGGTTTACAATTTTAATCAAAAGCAATCAATAGTACTGACACACAGATCTGACATGTGAGCGCTGCAGATGGTCCAACAAGACACAGACAAATATAAATATCAATGGGTAATATGTTGTCCATGGGCCTTTTGTACACTTCACTATTTCCCTAATCACTATTGATTAGACATCCTGGAGCCACTTCCTGTTCTGCCAATAAAGCTGATGGATGTGAAGAAGAGATGAAGAAAGAGTGGCTGCTGTAAAGCTTCTCCACAAATCAGATAAGCGACAGAAACGCTCTTCAGAGTGATGGAGCAACTCTGGGAGGCCCCAGGAGCCTGGTCTGCGTTCATCAGCACCCCTCCTCATTATTTATTACTGCTCCTACTACCAGACGGACACGAGGTGGTACTAGAGCGCCTGCTCTGTTGCTCTAGACAAAAAAGAGCCCTTCTCAAATGTTTTTCTCTTCTTTTAGATACTGTAGTATTAGCCTGTAATAAACCTCACACTACACTCTTAACCCAAATTAGTTGATTTTTCTAGAAAAAAAAAGCTGCACTATGTAACTTTTATAAAAAAATATTTCTTGCATATTTGTATAAACTGCCACCATGTTGTGTCAGTATGAGACAGATAGTCTGCCTTCTCACACTGCAAACTAGAAGCAACCAATTAGAACCGGGAGGCGGGTCTTAGCGCTATCAATCACCCTGCTAAGGCTAGTTAGCATATGACGGTGGAAAAACGGTTTTGCCGTAACTATGTGGTTTCTCTACCATCAGCACATGGAGCAGCGAATACACGAGGTTGATGGACAGTTCTAAGCCCGTCCTCCTGGCTCTGAATGGTTGTTTTTGGTTGTTAGCGGTGCGTTTCTTCAGACGGCAGTAGCAGCTCAGGGAGGAGGTGCAGGAGCTTGATATTTTCAGATTATCTGTCTCCTGCTGTCAGGATATGGTGACAGTTTTAACAAATATGTAAAAAACATTTTTTATTTACATCCTGCAGCTTTAATATTAGTTACAAGTACCAATGGGCACCAGCCCCCCAAATGTCTGAGGATGCCTCTGCTTGTTACCGTGGTCACAGCCGTTCATGCCCATCCTGCTTCCATCTGGACACACGTTGCACTTCAAGCCTTTCACCCCCGTCTTGCAGGAGCACAGGCCCGACATCTGCTCACAATCATCCCGGACCGAGCCGGTGGGATCACAGCTGCACGCTGAAATTACAAAGGAAAGAGGCATGATTAGATAATCGATTAGTGCCAATGATGGGCAGACCGGCCTTCGCTTAGAGTGGTAGGCAAACAAAGCGTGACTGGAGCACTGTTAGCCCGAGCATGTTGCTTTAAAGATACGCGTTTGTCTCCGACTGAGAGGGTGGGAAGAGTTCAACTCGCCTCAGGGTTCACAGAGGGGAGGAGTGGAAGGAAGAGAACGAGGGTGAAAGACAAACTTAAAATAACAACCTCGGGGAAGGACATCAAGCCCATCATGTTCCTAGAATCAATGATGTGATTATTTTTCTCCCTGCTCCTCCCTCCTGCTGAAGCTGTTATTGGTGTTCTGTTTTGCTGTCTGCTTGTGCTGGCTAAACCTCGTTAAAGGTCAGCCCACAGGTGACACACCTGTGGGCTTCCTGCTCCCTGGCTCCAGCAGTGTGTGTCCTTCGGTACGGCGGCAGCGAGACGCGAAGCCGCTCATCGTATCGCGTTACATTGAGACAAACAACCAGGTCCCGACCTCACACCGCCGCCCGCATACAAATGGAAACAGTTCATTCAATCCAGTTTTGACAGCACTAAAGGAAACAACAGAAAATCAATCTGCTAAAATGCAGCAAGCAGCTCCTCCTGTTTGTCTACTAAAGTGAATTTACAGTTAACCACGCATGGGAATTATCAGATTCAGGGATTCATGTCCTCCATGTTCCAGAGGTTCTGACAAGAAAGTAGATGCTGAGTTTGGAGTTTATCGACTTCAATTCTCCCATTTCTATTCTATGTAAAAGCTTGTGGTCTCATCATAAAAAATGTAGATCTACAGGCTATTTCAGAAGCTGGTCAAAGTAACAAGTTAGTGCTGTGTGATACGTCATATTTTAGTATTGATCCAAATCAAGTAAATACAGGCCCATATCCTCGATACCGATACCAATCATGATACTTATTATTTGAGTTTGATGATTTTCAACCAGTCTAAGAAACTACAATACAAAACTAAAAAACTTTAAAAGGGAATCTGAAACTAAAGTACAAATCTTACTAACATCAATCTGAACCGACTCGGTTTAGATACTTTCTAAAAATTTGGTTTGATTCGGCCATTTCTACAACATGCATCATGCGAATAGAGACCAACAGTGGCTTCTTACGCGTGCAGCCGCTCATGCCGTCAGTGATGATGGCACGGAAGTTCCAGAAGCCCGGCTCACAGCGGTCGCACTTCTGCCCGCCGACCCCCGGCTTACAGGAGCACTGGCCGCTGGTTGGGTCGCAGGAGCCTTTGTAGGAGCCGTGGACGTTACACTGACAGATGCCTGAGGAAAAATACAGCACAGTTTGCATTTTCAAGCTTTTTAAAACCCTGCTACACATAAATGCATGGCTTTAGTAATGGTGTGAAACTCTATCCATCAGCATATTCTATTTCTAAATCTGCATTTTTCCCATCTTTGAAGCATCTTGAAGATTACAGCGTGATGCCACGTTTCTCCTACATTTCTGGCGCTATCAAGAGTCGAGATCATCAGTAGAGGAAAGATTTGATTCTGTTGATAAAGACCAGCATCATCATAATTATTCTTGGGATTAAGATGAAACGCTTCCAGCTCTGCAACTTTGCTTGTAATCTTACAGAAACTGCAACTCAAGGACAACGCGCCTTCACGGCCCGATAGCATTAGACGTTTAGCAGGCGGAGAGAGGAAGACTCACTGGGACATCCGGCCTGTCCGACCCCTAGAGCGGCGGTGATGTTGTCGGAGCAGCAGCCATACGGAGAGAGGCCGCAGTGCTGCAGCGCCGTCAGCTCCGTCGGAGACGTAACATAATTCTCTGAGAAAGAAAGGAACAAGAAGATACAGAGGAAGATTTAAATGGGTAAGGTTTGGATTTATTGGACATTATATAAAATAATTTAAACAGATTAAACTTTTTTTTGCAAAAAAAAATTGAGACCAGGAGGCTAGGAACCAGCTTCCAGATAACAAGTTTATCTTCTACTTTCACTATAACAGCTCCATATCAGGAAGGGTAAGAGATGCTATTACCTCTAGTGAAAACAAGCAATGCCTTCCTGCTGAATTTGACATTTACCACCTACCAGCAGGGATGTTGTCTCCATTTGTCCCTGTCTGTGGAGCTGCACAGGAAACCTACATCTTAAAGAAAGAGCTCTGCCTTATGTGAAGGGATGTGCCAAGCTGCTTCTGCCTCTTTTGTCTGCAGCAGCCGCCAAACCAGCGTGGCAGAGCTACAGTCAGCCCGATAGAAACAAATGTGTTCCTCACGCTGGCCTTTCTCCAGAAGCTGGCAGCCGACAACAAACACAATAGGAGGAGGGAAAAGGTGGCGGGGCAGAGGGGATTGTTTAATAGCCAAGGCAAAAAAAAAAAAAAAAAAAGCCTAACGTTCAAAAATTTCCCCAAACTTTTGGGTGAAAAGTTAACTTGTAGATAAAAAACAGAGACTTCTCTGTTTGGCCTGGTTCTTTCTCTCTCTATTCCCCAACCAGTCTCCCTTTCTTATGTTGCTAATTTGGAGTTTGGAGGCTGGAGATACGGCGGCCATAAATCACACTGTTACTGGTGTGGATATGAGCCACAGCCTAATGGTGATGACTCGGCTCGCTCCTTTTCTCCAGCTCTTTCCCACTCCAGAGATGGGCTTTGGACACAGTTCATTTAACTTGCCACTTTCCAACGCTCCATTCAGCTATCTGCACCCAGCCTATTGGGACATGGAGAACTTTTAATTTTATACGTTCCTCCACCCTGTGCTTGGTTTTCTCTGCAGTAGCTGTTGTCTGGCACAGTGCTGCTCACTATGACATGCAATATTACCTTCATATTTCCCAACTCAACTGCATTTATTTCCTTTGTATAATAATATATTTTATATTCCTGGACATATTATCATTTCCACAGAACCAGACATATTTTTGGATTGCATTGAATGTCTTGACCCAGATTTGAGCTGGCAGGTACCAATGAGGGATTACCTGAATTGCTTCAGGACGATGTGATAAATCATCACGATTCAGCTTTTCTAGATTTAATCTTGCTACATTTACAAACCATTATATGTTAAAACAGTGGTAAACACCACTAACTAAGAACTTAGTTATGCTAACTCTGTAGCACTAGTTATAAACATTAGTTTTGCTAATGCCAAAGCACACACGGTCAGTAGTTAGCAGAAGCTAATCAGTTTGAATCATATCGGCATTGAAAGATGAGCACCAATTTACTTTTTCCATAATTTACATGTTCTCTATATTGATATTAGATATTGTATTTATGTTTACTTCTTTTGCTCTCTGTTCACTGTTTTTATTTTGTTCCTGTATGTTTCTTGTTTGGAAAAAAAAGAAGGTGAGGAGAGGAAACAGAACGGCTTCATAAACAGTTTCACCTCTTCAAAATAAGAGCATGAAGGAAAGCCTCTGACTAATTGAAGAATTTTTATTCAAACAAAGTAAAACACTAACACAGATGTTGGACTTTACTGAACTGAAAGTTTATAAAACAACCAGACTAATTAATGCAGTAGAATTTGTCCAGAAAGAATGCATTAGAGGAAGCCAAGTACGCTAAACGTTTTCATAGTTAGCAAAAGTGCTAAATGAAAAATTAGCTCTGCTATTAGCAGATTAGCCGAAGTGAGCCCATCCCTGGTAAAAGATGCTGAAGTTCAGCTGTCATCTTTCGTTTGACTTTACGGTCTTCTGCTATGGTTTATCAGGTCAAATTCCAGTAAAATAAATTAAACTTAATCAATGAATCTTTGCTGTATGAAATCTCATACAAGGTGCTGTAATTGGTAGGAAAGTTGAAGTTAGTCTCAAGAAGTTCTCTTACAGCTCAGAGCTACTAAAACCCAGGGCTGATTCTGGCTTCTGAACTTAAGGTCAAGATAAAAACTGGTCCTCACATAACTAATGTGGAGGGCAGGAAAATCCCACAGATGTGAGTTCATCCATGAGCCAATAGGAGAGCAGAAGCCCATAGGTCTGGTACACACAGACGGCTATTCAGAAAGAGGATTGATTATCCATGGAGGGTAGAGAAGCGTGACAGTCAGCCCCAAGGAGGCCGGCTTAGGAGGAAGAAGAATCAGCAAGGATGTGAGTGGAAACACTGGGAGCTGCTTCATTCTCCCTCTCCTCAACTCCCTCCATCCTCCTCTCTTTTGGACCCAGGGGGAATCAAGCAGGCCAGAGTGATCACACAAAATCCCTGAAGTGCCTTTTGCTCTGCTCTTCGGCCTTCACCAGCAAAAGCTCTTCATTTGACACAGCCACTGAGAGGAAGGTGGTTAACCTTTGCAGCCTGGCCACTGATCTAACAATCAGCTCGCTGGGTCATTATTGCATGCAAAGAAGAGCTGTTTATATTAGTGTAAGTGGAGCAAAGTGGTATCCTCAGGGTTAGCAGGCAAGTTTCATGGTTTAAATCAGTGGTCCCCATAGTGGGTCCTGGAGGCCCGGCATCCTGCATGTTTTAGTCTCTCCCTGGTTTAGCTCACCTGGATCAAATGATGGCTCATTAGAGGTCTAAGAAGAACACTGACATGCTGAAAAGGTTGTTACTACCACCAGGGAGAGAACTAAAACATGCAGGATGTCGGGCCTCCAGGACGCACTCTGGGGACCACTGCTCTAAATTGTCAGACTTTCAAGACAAAAAAAAGACTCATTACTGCAATCAGCTCCTTCCACACACAGGCCCGTGAGAAAGATTTTAATACCAGCCGACCTCCAGAGGAACCGTCAGTTTCACGAACGCTGCTGAAAAAATTGTGAGTCAACTTTCCTGGAGCGAATCACGCAGACACGACAAAGCACATTTAAGCATTATCTACATCATTTCATTAGCTTTTGGTGACTGGGCTGACAAAGAAGAGACAACAGAGATTATGTCAGAATTATACTGGGAGGAGAGATAACCTGTCAATGGAGGGAATGAGTGGAGAAATGGGATGGCAGTGACAATGATGATAGAGTAACCTGCAATCACTGTATGTGTTTATGTGTGAAGCACCGACCTGCACAGGGACCCTGACTCTGAACCAACAAGAGCCTCTTTTCCAAACATTTGGTGTTTTTTATTTCGCACTCGTTCCGGTAGGTTTTCCCATCTGAGCCACAGACCTGTAGAGAGAGAGAGCAGGTATAGACAGGGAGATTTCTATGACGTGATGGTATGTTATTTTTATCAGGCATAGATAAACTGTTTACCTTCTCACAAACCAAATACACATCAACCCAACGTATGTCGATGGATTCCCTCTCAAAGTCTCAGAATCTCAAAACTTCTGACTAATAAAATGTAACTCAAGGAGACTTTTGGATGAGCATAAAGAATAAGACATTTAAAAACCCCAACATCTAATATGTTTTAATCCAATATGTTCTCACTCCCAACTAGTCATAATATGGACGCTTGGGCAGGTTCCCTCTGCGTCACATGTTGACGCATCGGGTACAGCCTTCTTGTCAATAATTGATGTGCAGGGTGCTTTTTTGTGATTTTATCTTCATTTTGTGAAGATAAAATCACAGCTGCAGAAGTAAAATTAATCTGAAGTAAAATTAATGAAATTGGTAAATCATACAGATACATCAGCTGTGCATGAATTGTATCACTTTTTATATGCCTTTTAGAAAATTAGAATAGACTCATCCTCTTCGTTCCTAGATCGTCAGTTTCGGATGCTTAGGGAGCGCTACAGCATTCAATGAAAGCACCTTGAACGTCAGTTATTGACGAGAAAGGGGTACCCGATGCGTCAACAAGTGACTCAGAGGGAACCGACCCCAAGCATCCCTATATGACGAGTTGGGAGTGAGAACGTGTTGTTTAATCAGTTGCAACAACATATTATCACCTTCCTAAAGTTATGGCTTAAGTCATTTTTTACCAACAGTGAATTTTTTTTTCTATCTTTAAGTAAAAAATGGCATAACCCTTTATTTTAGGAAGATGATAATAAATTTATCTTTTTACAATTTTACAATCTCCATGTTTGTTATTTACTGTGATTTCTGAAGAGGATCTCAACACATTTAGATTCACACTCCAACCGTTGGGACGGCTGGTTAAATTGATGTAGCAAATCTATCCAGAAACAAAACACTACATCAGGTCTAAACCTGTAGGTGAACGCCTGCTTTTCCTGGAAGCCGTACCTCGTTGAGTGGCACGCTGTCACAGTTAAAGCTGCAGATGCAGCGTTCATCCTCTTCATCCTCGTTCCAAATCCCTTCGTATGTCGTACAGCGCTCCTGTTCGCAGCTCTCCACTCCGGAGCCAGATGCCCCCGAGCCACATTCTGCAAATAAAAACACAAAACTCACTGTATTATTCATAAAACACACACTGAAATCACGCTTTTTCACAACAAACATATTTTTGTTCAACATAAATCTCAAATTTCTTGACTGACCAAATTTCAACATTTATGCTGTAAGAGAGAAGACATGAAAAGAACTGCTGCTGCTGCTGCTAGTGTAAAATAATGACCCAGTGCAGCTGAGGCTGGATGGTGACTAAATAGATTAGACATCTCTGAACCACCAATGAGGCGTCCTTTTTATTTCAATTAAATCAGAAATAAAAAAGGGAGGGAATCTGTGGCCATTTAGTTGCGGGCGGCCCGCTCTATGGGTGCCTGCCTCCTGATATGAGAATGCAGCTAATTGCACAGTGTTCTGTTAAATTTAATTATCTCCTGAGACCTTGGAGAAAAGTTGTCACAGCAACTCTTTAACTGTGACCCTGAAAGTCGTTCACTTGCATTAAAAGCGAGGGAAAAGCTACTCATTGAGTCTCCAGCACAAAGTATGAAAATTCTTCATTTTCTGCTTGTTTTGTGTATTTTTATTCTTCCTAAAAGGGATTAAAAGAACAGAGACATGTGAGAGCATGTTGTTTTTGGGTTTCGTTTAAGAACAACAAATTGAGCAGATGAGGAAAGTGGGAGGATCCCATCTTTTGAAGATGCGAACATCTCCTGCAGCGGCGACCCGGGAGAGATTAGGTGAATGCGTGTGAAAACAGTAGTATGAAAGCATGTCAAACTGGGCGAGAGGCTCATGAGGCAGGAAGAAAGTTCATTCAAAACTAATTTATTTTTCAGAAAAGGAACTAAAAGCTCCCAGAGACGCCCAGCAGACTCAAGGTGTTCCTTCTCCTCCCCATTGTCTTGTCTTCTTCTGGGGCTTATTCCACTCTGTGTATTGATGCTCCGTCTCTAATGGCGAAATCGATGTTCCAGTGATGGAAGTAGCACTTAGTGTAACCCATCTCTTAAAGTAGATTATGGAGAAGGTCACAGAGGCAGGGGAGGGGATCCCAGCTCTTCTCTGATACAGGTCATCAGCAACAGGATGGAAAGGCTTTTGAAGGGTCAAAATTTCTTGAGTGACCAAATTTCAACATTTATGCTGAGAAGAGAGAAGACATGAAAAGAACTGCTGCTGCTGCTGCTAGTGTAAAATAATGACCCAGTGCAGCTGAGGCTGGATGGTGACTAAATAGATTAGACATCTCTGAACCACCAATGAGGCGTCCTTTTTATTTCAATTAAATCAGAAATAATCAACAATTATTTCGAAATGACATTTCATTTCGCTTTGGGATCAATTAAGTATTTTTGAAATTAAATGAATTTGAACAAACATCAGTTTAGAGATTTACACTAGAATACTGTTTATCCTGAGACCCTTGAACCTACCCTAACCCACTTATCTATCTGTAACTCTAATGCTTATACCCACCACTAACCACCAAGAGTAACCCTAGTGTAACGCTTTTAGCTATCTGTAACCACTAACCCGAACCCTTTTACCAATGTAAACCACTGTAGCATCGTATTGATTGTGGACCAGTCTGGAGTTAACATTTTGTTTTGCAGCTCACAGCCACCAGTGACATTACTGCGGGTATTCCTGGCTCAGTTGACCTTGGAAGAAAAGATAAAAAATAAAAATGAGGACAGATCAGAGGGAGGATGAAGCAGTGATGGTTGGCTTCCCGCGTCTGTTTACTGTATGCCAGCTCAGCAAGGCACAATAAAAAAGCCAAGCCAGCCCACCCAATTCATATTCCGCTCAGGCGCCCTCGCAGAGTCGAGCTAAATAAATAAAAGAGGTAAGACATTAAAACAGAATAAATAAATAAAAGTGAAAAGCGAATAGAGGGGGGTCCTAATTAGTGGCTGTACTTTGATGTGTCCACCACCTGCGCCGCCTACGAACCTTTCAATTAATACATCCCCAGCTAAGATGGCTGCATCAGCTATTCTCTCTGCACTGCCCAACCGTACATTTTTACTCAATCATGTCAGAGGCCCGAGTCTATTTAGCCGAGGGAGCTCCATTAAGAAGACAGAATTCAGCAGTCAGGGAAGAAAAGAACGTGGATTGCATGAGGATAACTTTGAAGAAATATAGCGGGGATTTGACAATGAAAATAATATTAGAAATGAACAAAGTTGTCGAAGTTTCGGGTATTGAACTGAAAGAACAGAACATGGGTAAATAATTGAAGCTTCAAGAGGAAGTGTGGGACATATACTGAGCTCTTGGTAAACTAGAATACTTGATGTCTGGTCTTCATCAGAATCCGTCTGACTATATCCTCACACTCAACACTAGTTTGGATTGGTATTATTATTATTGCTTTGAGGCATTGAGGTGATTTCCACAATTACGTCGATATTTAGATCATCTGTTTCTCTTGTCCACATGCAAGTTGGGTTTAAATATAAAAACTGAGATTTTTATCCAACTGGAATGTATATCTAGAGCAGTGGTTCTTAACCTGGGTTCGATCGAACCCCAGGGGTTCGGCGGAGCCTCTGCCGCGGAGGTAAAGACACACTTGTGTAAAGTCGTGATGACGCCCCGCTTTGCCATCACTTGCTGCAGAGGATCACGTTACATTGCTGAGCCAATCAGAGCTGCGGAGGAGCACTGATTGAAGGAGCTCCACTCTCAGCATGGATTTGAACTTGTGTCTTTAATTACTTCAGCAAAGCTCACAGTTTTTACCAAATTCTGTAGCTTTCGGTGTACTTCTAAATCTGCTCCATAGTCGCATCTTTTCGGGGTTGATACTGCCTCTAGTGGAGTGGGGTGGTAACACAGCTAATATTATTGCATTACTAAATCAGAATACCGCAAAATCTTTTGTGTGTCGGCGCGGGGGGGATAAGAAGGGTTCAGTGAATGCGCATATGAAACTTGGGGGTTCGGTACCTCAAAAAGGTTAAGAACCACTGATCTAGAGGTTACAAAAAAAAACCTGCTCTAAAAATGTTTCAGCATCGAAATAGTAGAGCAATTAATGTCTTAGTATTGTCATTACTGCAATAATCTATTGCTTTAGCAGCAACAACGTGGTAGCAATTGCTTTGTTTTATATAAACTGTGGTATAGTTTTAATTTGGTTATAGGGATTAACTTGAGTTCAGAGAACTGTGTCAATTTGTGACCCGATCTTCCCATTCCGACAATCTCAGGGGCGCTCCGATTATGTTTTCTGACATTAGGACCATCTTAGCCAAAAACAAAAACAAAATATGGACAACTCAAAAAATGATGGGCCATTTTACTGAGAACAGATTCTTTAAAATAAAGTTTGATTGGCTCAACAGTTGGTTAGCTCATACTTGGAACCCAATAAGTTCATTGTCTCATCTCTTGAGCTGAATGTTTTATTACATCTCTAGTAATTTTGTGATCTTTGACAATCCGAAGCCTAGCACTGCTTTAGCCACTCTCAGGATCCTTCTCTTAAAAGTTTGACTCTGTCACCACCTGCTGGTACAGCTGAGGTATTACAGTGTTTCAGTCTCAAATTTACCCAAAAACAAAGAAAAAATACCAATTTTATAAACATCCATATCAGCATAGTTTGACCTGAATAAGGCATTCCAAAGCAAAGAAGAATAAATTACCTTATGTGGCCCCATCAGTTACTTAAACTGTCATCATGGATGTGGGAGGACATTAGTCCAGGTGTAATAGTTGTAGAATGAATCACGTCAAGGAACCAGGATTTGCATTGATTTATTTCTGTTTAAAACAAAAACATGTTCAGCAGCAGCTCCTGGCTCTGGCTTTCCCACTCACACCTTTACCATCCAAAAGAACAAAAAAAAATAACCATGTTGGCATGGTAAACTGGATAAATGTCACCAACGTGAATTAAATACCCAGAACAGTGTTGTGCTAAACATCAAAAAGTTAAACTATTTACAACTTATGAGTTGAGCAGTATACTTTTTTTTTGTTACATTTTGAATATTA